AGGGCATACCTTCAGTGTAGCACCACTGCAATGAGGGCATACCTTCAGTGTAGTACCACTACCGTCAGAGCATACCTTCAGTGTAGCACCACTGCAATCAGGGCATACCTTCAGTGTAGCACAATTGCCGTCAGGGCATACCTTCAGTGTAGCACCACTGCAATCAGGGCACCTTCAGTGTAGCACCACTGCAATCAGGGCATACCTTCAGTGTAGCACCACTGTCGTCAGGGCATACCTTCAGTGTAGCAACACTGCAATCAGGGCATACCTTCAGTGTAGCACCACTGCAATCAGGGCATACCTTCAGTGTAGCACCACTGTCGTCAGGGCATACCTTCAGTGTAGCAACACTGCAATCAGGGCATACCTTCAGTGTAGCACCACTGCCGTCAGGGCATACCTTCAGTGGAGCACCACTGCCGTCAGGGCATACCTTCAGTGTAGTACCACTGCCGTCAGGGCATACCTTCAGTGTAGCACCACTGCAATCAGGGCATACCTTCAGCGAGCACCACTGCAATCAGGGCATACCTTCAGTGTAGCAACACTGCAATCAGGGCATACCTTCAGTGTAGCACCACTGCAATCAGGGCATACCTTCAGTGTAGCACAATTGCCATCAGGGCATACCTTCAGTGTAGCACCACTGCCGCCAAGGCATACCTTCAGTGTAGCAACACTGCCGTCAGGGCATACCTTCAGTGTAGCAACACTGTCGTCAGGGCATACCTTCAGTGCAGCACGACTGCCGCCAGGGCATACCTTCAGTGTAGCACCACTGCCGTCAGGGCATACCTTCAGTGTAGCAACACTGCCGTCAGGGCATACCTTCAGTGTAGCACCACTGCAATCAGGGCATACCTTCAGTGTAGCAGTAGGCAAGCACACGTTTTCTCGTCAGTGAATTTTTTTAATTTTGCCATTTCGTAACACGTTCCTCTCCTAAAGTTACAATTTTATCTATTCAGCCTTGACCTTTCATATTCTGCAGCTGTTGTTGACAGGAATTCGTCTTAGGGGTAGCACTGTGTACTATACAGTATAGCAAGGTTTACATGGCACTGTGTACTATACAGTATAGCATGGTTTACATGGCACTGTGTACTATACAGTATAGCATGGTTTACATGGCACTGTTTACTATACAGTATAGCATGGTTTACATGGCACTGTGTACTATACAGTCTTGCATGGTTTACATGGCACTGTGTACTATACAGTATAGCATGGTTTACATGGCACTGTGTACTATACAGTATAGCATGGTTTACATGGCACTGTGTACTATACAGTCTTGCATGCTTTACATGGCACTGTGTACTATACAGCATAGCAAGGTTTACATTGCACTGTGTACTATACAGTATAGCATGGTTTACACTGCACTGTGTACTATACAGTATAGCATGGTTTACATTGCACTGTGTACTATACAGTCTTGCATGGTTTACATTGCACTGTGTACTATACAGTATAGCATGGTTTACACTGCACTGTGTACTATACAGTATAGCAAGGTTTACATGGCACTGTGTACTATACAGTATAGCAAGGTTTACATTGCACTGTGTACTATACAGTATAGCATGGTTTACATGGCACTGTGTACTATACAGTATAGCAAGGTTTACATGGCACTGTGTACTATACAGTATAGCAAGGTTTACATTGCACTGTGTACTATACAGTATAGCAAGGTTTACATGGCACTGTGTACTATACAGTATAGCAAGGTTTACATTGCACTGTGTACTATACAGTATAGCAAGGTTTACATGGCACTGTGTACTATACAGTATAGCAAGGTTTACATTGCACTGTGTACTATACAGTATAGCATGGTTTACATGGCACTGTGTACTATACAGTATAGCATGGTTTACATTGCACTGTGTACTATACAGTATAGCATAGTTTACATGGCACTGTGTACTATACAGTATAGCATGGTTTACATGGCACTGTGTACTATACAGTATAGCATGGTTTACATGGCACTGTGTACTATGCAGTATAGCATGGTTTACATTGCACTGTGTACTATACAGTATAGCAAGGTTTACATGGCACTGTGTACTATACAGTATAGCATGGTTTACATTGCACTGTGTACTATACAGTATAGCAAGGTTATCATGGCACTGTGTACTATACAGTATAGCATGGTTTACATGGCACTGTGTACTATACAGTATAGCAAGGTTTACATGGCACTGTGTACTATACAGTGTAGCATGGTTTACATGGCACTGTGTACTATACAGTATAGCATGGTTTACATTGCACTGTGTACTATACAGTATACAAGGTTTACACTGCACTGTTGCGCACTGGGGCATTGCCTCAGTGCCTCTTGGTGTATAATTAGCACAGAAGTGTAATGAACTGATGATGGAGGCAAATGGCGTTAAAACATATTATATCAGGGGAACTAGTGCACGTAGGGCCTTGGCTATCATCTCCAGTTGCCGTTAGTATCTCTTCCTGTCAATCATAACGGAACAGATGAGGTCCGTTCTCCATATGAAACTGTCTCCCTTGAAATATATCGGTTATGTGGAACTATAATATGTGAAACTATCAGAATTGATTTCAGTTATGCGAGAACTATAATATGCAAAACTTTCTGAATTGATGTCAGATATGCGAAAACTATAATGTGTGAAACTTTCTGAATTGATGTCAGATATGCGAGAACTGTAATTTGTGAAACTTTCTGAACTGATGTCATATATACGTGAACTATAATATGCGAAACTTTCTCAACTGATGTCAGATATGCGAGAACTATAATATGTGAAACTATCAGAATTGATGTCAGATATGCGAGAACTATTATATGTGAAACTACCAGAATTGATGTCAGATATGCGAGAACTATAATCTGTGAAACTATCAGAATTGATGTCAGATATGCGAGAACCATAATATGTGAAACTATCTGAATTGATGCCAGATATGCGAGAACTATAATATGTGAAACTACCAGAATTGATGTCAGATATGCGAGAACTATGTTATGTGAAACTATCAGATTTGATGTCAGATATGCGAGAACTATAATATGTGAAACTATCAGAACTGATGTCAGTTATGCGAGAACTATAATATGTGATACTATCTACATTCATGACAGTTATGCGAGAGCTATAATCTGTGAAACTATCAGAATTGATGTCAGATATGCGAGAACTATTATATGTGAAACTACCAGAATTGATGTCAGATATGCGAGAGCTATAATATGTGAAACTATCAGAATTGATGTCAGATATGCGTGAACTATGTTATGTGAAACTATCAGATTTGATGTCAGATATGCGAGAACTATAATATGTGAAACTATCAGAATTGATGTCAGTTATGCGAGAACTATAATATGTGATACTATCTACATTCATGACAGTTATGCGAGAGCTATAATATGTGAAACTATCTGAATTGATGTCAGACATGCGAGAACTATTATATGTGAAACTATCAGAATTGATGTCAGATATGCGAGAACCATAACATGTGAAACTATCAGGATTGATGTCAGTTATGCGAGAGCTATAATATGTGAAACTATCAGAATTGATGTCAGATATTCGAGAACTATAATATGTGAAACTATCTACATTCATGTCAGTTATGCGAGAGCTGTAATATGTGAAACTATCAGAATTGATGTCAGATATGCGAGAACTTTAATATGGGAAACTACCAGAATTCATGTCAGATATGCGAGCTATAATATGTGAAACTATCAGAATTGATGTCAGATATGCGAGAACTATAATATGTGAAAATATCTGAATTCATGTCAGATATGCGAGAACTGTAATATGTGAAACTATCAGAATTGATGTCAGATATGCGAGAACTATGTTATGTAAAAAATATCAGAATTTATGTCAGATATGCGAGAACTAAAATATGTCAAACTATCAGAATTGATGTCAGATATGCGAGAAATATTATATGTGAAACTTTCTGAATTGATATCACAAATGCGAGAACTGCAGTATGTGAAACTATCTGAACTGATGTCAGATATGCGAGAACTATAATATGTGAAACTATCAGAATTGATTTCAGATGTGCGAGAACTGCAGTATGTGAAACTGTCTGAACTGATGTCAGATATGCGAGAACAATAATATGTGAAACTATGTGAATTGATGTCAGATATGCGAGAACTATAATATGTAAAATTGTGAAATATATATATGTGAAATCAGAATTGATGAACGGGTGTGTAAGCTGTCTGTTCCGGGTGTGTAAGCTGTCTGTCCCGGGTGTGTAAGCTGTCTGTCCCGGGCGTGTAAGATGTCTGTCCCGGGTGTATAAGCTGTCTGTCCTGGCTATGTAAGCTGTCTGTCCCGAGTGTGTAAGCTGTCTGTCCCGAGTGTGTAAGCTGTCTGTCCCGGCTGTGTAAGCTGTCTGTCCCGGGTGTGTAAGCTGTCTGTCCCGGGTGTGTAAGCTGTCTGTTCCGAGTGTGTAAGCTGTCTGTCCCGGGTGTGTAAGCTGTCTGTCCCGGGTGTGTAAATTGTCTGTCCCGGGTGTGTTAGTTGTCTGTCCCGGGCGTGTGAGATGTCTGTCCCGAGTGTATAAGCTGTCTGTCCTGGCTGTGTAAGCTGTCTGTCCCGGGTGTGTAAGCTGTCTGTCCTTGGTGTGTAAGCTATCTGTCCCGGGTGTGTAAGTCGTCTGTCCCGGGTGTGTAAGCTGTCTGTCCTGGCTGTGTAAGCTGTCTGTCCCGGCTGTGTAAGCTGTCTGTCCCGGCTGTGTAGGCTGTCTGTCCCGGGTGTGTAAGCTGTGTGTCCCGGGTATGTAAGCTGTCTGTCCCGGGTGTGTAAGCTGTTTATGGTCGGGTGTGTACTGTACGGGACGCAGTGACACTGTAGTGGTGCAGATACGTCACCGAGCTGGCAGACCTTGGACCGAGGTGATCCATTCAGCGAGAAGGTCGGCCTACCCGGAAATATTAGCTCAGCACACCACGTGGAGACCACGTGACCGTCAGCTGAGTGCACGCCACGCGCTAGTTTACTACTTGTTGTAGGGATAGTAAAACACGCACCGTCGTAGATCAATACGTGAGAAGATAACCTGGCACCTCACATATATTCGGCTGTGATACTGGCTTCGGATCATCAGTACACGACGGTAAGAATCACAATTGACATTGACACTTAACGATACCGTGTTTTAGCATATGTACCTGGCGTATTTCATCTGCGTGAATGGGTCACGGGTGGCCCAGTCGTCTAAGGCGCCGCAATCTGCTGTGCAGAGTTGCGTCCCTTGGGCACGCCAGAAACCTATGATTGTTGGTTCGAATCTCGGTTCGCCCCGATTATGTTTCTAGGTATGTTAGCATCATACTCGTGCTCGTGGCTTTCACCGACGTGTTAAACGTCTAAGGCCTGCATCACTTCGGGCTTTCCTCCCACATGAAGCTGACATTAAGCTAAAACAGCTCTCAGTATGCCACTCGCCACATCACGTGGTTGATCGCTGCTACTCATACTTTCAACCGCTGGTTTTATCCTCGTGCAACACCAACCATGTGACCCAATCAACACGATGGCCCAGTCACCACGGGGCCCAATCAACACGATGGCCCAGTCACTACGTGGCCCAATCAACACGATGGCCCAGTCACTACGTGGCCCAATCAACACGATGGCCCAGTCACTACGTGGCCCAATCAACACGATGGCCCAGTCACTACGTGGCCAGATCAACACGATGGCCCAGTCACTACGTGGCCCAATCAACACGATGGCCCAGTCACTACGTGGCCCAATCAACACGATGGCCCAGTCACTACGTGGCCCAATCAACACGATGGCCCAGTCACTACGTGACCCAATCAACACGATGGCCCAGTCACCACGTGGCCTAATCATAAAACGATGGCCCAGTCACCACGTGGCCCAATCAACACGATGGCCCAGTCACTACGTGGCCAAATCAACACGATGGCCCAGTCACTACGTGGCCCAGTCACCACGTGGCCCAATTAACACGATGGCCCAGTCACTACGTGGCCCGATCAACACGATGGCCCAGTCACCACGGGGCCCAATCAACACGATGGCCCAGTCACCACGGGGCCCAAACCCACGATGGCCCAATCAGCACGATGGCCCAGTCACCACGCTCAGGACGAACTTGTGTCACTGTCTCGGATGAGGGTGTCCTGTTGTTCTGGAGTGTCCGGAAACAAGCGCCATGTTATGTCACAGGGGTTGATTCATAAATTCACAACAGCTTCGCGGATAGTCTGTCTTACAGACCCTGATACAAATATATATCAAATACAGCCCATGCAAGTCTATAATGTTTGGCAAGTCTAGATCACTGCAGTATCAGGAGTCACTGGGCTCCTTTTTATTATATCTTTATTAAGATAACTGAACAACTGTTTTTTTTATGTACGATATGTTCATTTCAGAGACTAGATGTTAGTCTACTTCGCGGACAGCGTTAAAGTTACCATACATCACGTGCTTCCACCTGGTTGAGCGTAAAATGCGCATGCTCAAGACACAGAAGTCTTCAGTTGTCTTCCGTCGTTTATAGATGCAGGTCGTATATTGATATCTCTCTGTATGTGACAGATATAGTGAACTACAATAGTACAGTGAAGAATAGTGAGTGAGTGAGTATGGTTTTACGCCGCTTTTAGCAATATTCCAGCAATATCACGGCGGGGGACACCACAAATGGGCTTCACACATTGTACCCATGTCGGGAATCGAACCCGGGTCTTCGGCGTGACGAGCGAACGCTTTCACCACTAGGCTACCCGACCGCCCCAGTGAAGAATAGAATAGGAATAGCTGAGACATTGTAAACATACACTAATTAAACTTGGTTGATGCATGTCATCGTATCCCGATTGCGTGGATCGATGCTCATAATGTCAATCATTGGATTGTCTGGTCCAGATTCGATATTATACAGACCGCCGTCATGTAGCTGGAATATTGCGGAGTGCGGCGTTAAACACCAAACCATCCAACCAACCAACTGATTAAACAGCAACTTCTCTTTAAGATTCAAATTCGTTTTCATTGCGCATTACATAATAAGAGGATTTTAGTACATGTTTAGTGAATCGAATTTAGCTTCCATGCGAACCAGCTCCTGTTTCGCTATAGTCATATAAGGTGGTTGTGGTCTTTTAAGTGCTGTCTGTATGATGTGTCTTACAGATCAAAACTAACCACAAAGTTCCTGCAGTTTGATTGAGAAAATGGGTGAAATGTGGCTGGGGTTTGGGAAGGCTTTTGATTTAAATGGAGTTTTTTTTATTAACTAGTATATAAACTGGAATACAAGGCGTCCTGAGCAGGTATCCATGCGTTTAAGACTGTGTGTTCCATTCTGTGACGACGTTTGCCAATACGCTGTGTGAACGTTCCACTAATGGTACGTTGTCAGCGCTCAGTTCAGACAGGTCACTAGTGCCTTTTCCGCGAAGACGCCTTTGTTTCACAAGGGTCAGTGTCCCTTGTGCCCCATGCTTGATCGGATGGATACAATGGGTGACCGCGTTATCATTTCCCGCGTCGTGGGTCGTTGCCGATGGGTCCCCGTACTCCATTCTTGTCATAATTGCTCTCTACAAGATATTGAACAGGGGTTAAATTTCGCGTTTAACATAATTGCACTGATACAGCGACGTCCATGTACAGACTGATGCCGATTTATAGTGCTAGCCCACTGAGATACCATGCCGCAGTTTTACATGGATACCCCACTCAGACACAGTGTTCTGACTCCGAGCCAGTTCTTGTTTTATCATCTTATGCCGAGCGCAAGCAGGATAACAAGAGGTACTACGAAGCGACCTCCTTCAAAGAGCGTTCACGCACTCATACAGCGCTGAATGTACCAAGGTTGGTTGGTTGGTTTCTTGTTTAACGCCGCACTCCGCAATATCCCAGTTATATGACGGCGGTGTGTAAATAATCGCGTCTGGATCAGACAATCCAGTGATTGATATCATGAGCATCGATCCACGCAATTGGGATCGATGACATGCTTTAACCAAGTCAGAGAGCCTGACCACCCGATCCCGTTAGTCGCCTCTTACGACAAGCATAGTCGCCTTTAACGGCAAGCCTGGGTTGCTGAAGACCTGTTCTACCCCGGATCTTCACGGGTCGAATATACCAAGGCAGACCTCTCAGATCTACCGCACTGTGGCGAGTTTCGGTGGAACCTATCTACTATACGCACTATGTACAGAACACGACTTGAAGGAGAAGTGAAGTGTTTAGAATACATCGCATGTCAGTCAACGCGGAGAGCTCATATCTCTAGTCTATATATGCCATTGGGTTTAAGTAGTCACCGTAAACCGTACCCCACTTTTTCACTGTGCAACACTCTATAAAGATCCACATGCAATTGAATATACCTGTTTGAAAGATTTGAACATCATCACAAGCTATGAAATGCAGTGTACTTTTACAATAAAGTACACTACGTTTATAACGAACACGCTTATAACAAACTGACGGATATAACGAACTGTCTTTTTTGTCCCGACAATTTGCTGTATGTATACTGTATACATGCTTATTACGAACTACGGTTATAACGAAGTAGAATTGGCGCTCCTTTCGAGTTTGTTATATCCGTAGTTAACTGTACTTGAACAAATGTCGGATTTCTAAATAGCAGATGCTAGGATTGTATCTCCAGCAATTATGGTAATAAGTTGCACTGTAGTCTGCATATGAGATGCAGTATCAGGTGTCCTTACATTGAGAACCGTGCATTCAAAGAAAAACACCGTCCCCCAAGACTCACGACATGCTCTCATTTATGCTAGCGGTAGGCGTTGACGGTACATCTTATACTTGCTGTAGAGCGCACGGATGTGTGTATTTTGTGTGTGTGCGCGCGTGTGTGTGTTGTGTGTTGTTTTGTGTGTGTGTGTGTGTGTGTGTGTGTGTGTGTGTGTGTGTGTTTTGTGTGTGTGTGTGTGTGTTTTGTGTGTGTGTGAGTGTTTTGTGTGTGTGTTTTGTGTGTGTGTTTTGTGTGTGTGTGTGTGTGTGTGTGTGTGTGTGTGTGTGTGTGTGTGTGTGTGTGTGTGTCCAAGTGGCATGTTAACATACGGGTAGGTTACGTGGAGCTAGTGCAAGAGTGAAATTGGGTGTTGGACTTTCTGGTTTTTCCCGAGTCTGGGAAGTCATGAACGTTTGCATTACGTCAACAATGGCGTCTAAATAACGTCAACAATGCTGTCTGCTTTACATCAATAATGTTTGAATTACGTCGACAACGACGTATACATTACGTCGGCATTGATGTCTGTATTACGTCAACAGTGACGTATACATTACGTCAACAATGGCGTCTAAATTACGTCAACAATGCCGCCTGCACTACGTCAACAATGACGTTTACATTACGTCAACAATGCTGCATTACGTCAACAATGATGTATGCATTGCATCAACAATGCTGTCTCCATTACGTCAACAATGCTGTGTGCATTACGTCAACAATGATGCATGCATTAAGTCACCAATATTGTATTCATTACATTACGTCAACAATGGCGTCTAAATTACGTCAACAATGCCGCCTGCACTACGTCAACAATGACGTTTACATTACGTCAACAATGCTGCATTACGTCTACAATGATGTCTGCATTACCTCTACATATATGTCCGCATCACGTCAATAATGATGTATGCGTTGCATCAACAATACTGTCTCCATTACGTCAACAATGCTGTGTGCATTACGTCAACAATGATGCATGCATTAAGTCACCAATATTGTATTCATTAAATAAATACAGATATCTACATAACGCCAACAACGTCTGCCTTTACACAAACAACGATGTATGCATTACGTCAACAATGTCTGCAATGGCAAATTCAACGTTCGTTTGTCATTGTTCGTGCGTGTGGGTGAGTGGGTGAGTTTAGAGGGAATGTGTGAATGTTGCGGTTCAAACTGACAATATCACTACCGCCGGGCAATGGTGTATAAGCATTACGTGGAAACGTAGTGATAGCTGATAGCCTACTTTATGTCGATGTGCCATCTGGCAGACAACATGTGGCCTTGTGTGGTTTATACGGCTGATAACACATTCCATCTTATCTAGAACCTTATTTAGCGTACAACCCAAAGCATCCTCTCTCGTCCTCTAAATCCGGCATCTGTAACATCGTGTCTCATCGTTTTTGGTACCCGTCGCCGGTTGCGACCTGAATCACCCTCTATACACGGCGTCGGTTGCACCTCGCTCACCCTCTATACACGGCGTCGGTTGCACCTCGCTCACCCTCTATACACGGCGTCGGTTGCACCTCGCTCACCCTCTATACCCGGCGTCGGTTGTACCTCCCTCACCCTCTATACCCGGCGTCGGTTGAACCTCCCTCACCCTCTATACACGGCGTCGGTTGAACCTCCCTCACCCTCTATACCCGGCGTCGGTTGAACCTCCCTCACCCTCTATACCCGGCGTCGGTTGAACCTCCCTCACCCTCTATACACGGCGTCTGTAATACCCTCTCGCATCCTCCTCTATTCCTGGCGTCTGTACCATCAAATCTGGGTTTTCGTCTTGACGAGCCGACGCATTAACCACACGGCTGGTTATGACGCGACCAGGGATCGAACCCCGGACCTTCCGCTCTCAAACTGACAATATCACTACCGCCGGGCAATGGTGTATAAGCATTACGTGGAAACGTAATGATAACTGATAGCCTACTTTATGTCGATGTGCCATCTGGCAGACAACATGTGGCCTTGTGTGGTTTATACGGCTGATAACACATTCCATCTTATCTAGAACCTTATTTAACGTACAACCCAAAGCATCCTCTCTCGCCCTCTATATCCGACATCTGTAACATCGTGTCTCATCGTCCTTTGGTGCCCGTCGTCGGTTGCGACCTCAATCACCCTCTATACACGGCGTCTGTAACACCCTCACCCTCTATACACGGTGTCGGTTGAACCTCCCTCACCCTCTATACCCGGCGTCGGTTGCACCTCCCTCACCCTCTATACCCGGCGTCGGTTGCACCTCGCTCACCCTCTATACACGGCGTCGGTTGAACCTCCCTCACCCTCTATACACGGCGTCGGTTGAACCTCCCTCACCCTCTATACCCGGCGTCGGTTGCACCTCGCTCACCCTCTATACACGGCGTCGGTTGAACCTCCCTCACCCTCTATACACGGCGTCGGTTGAACCTCCCTCACCCTCTATACCCGGCGTCGGTTGCACCTCGCTCACCCTCTATACACGGTGTCGGTTGAACCTCCCTCACCCTCTATACCCGGCGTCGGTTGAACCTCCCTCACCCTCTATACCCGGCGTCGGTTGCACCTCCCTCACCCTCTATACCCGGCGTCGGTTGCACCTCGCTCACCCTCTATACACGGCGTCGGTTGAACCTCCCTCACCCTCTATACACGGCGTCGGTTGAACCTCCCTCACCCTCTATACCCGGCGTCGGATGTACCTCCCTCACCCTCTATACACGGCGTCGGTTGCACCTCCCTCACCCTCTATACACGGCGTCGGTTGCACCTCC